TTATCTCCCTCTCTCCTTGACCACACTCTGCTGCCCTCTGCCACGTCATAAGCAAGCATCCTCTGCCATACCCCTGTGCCACCCCTGCTTTGGAGCCAGCTAACTATGGACTGTAACTTCTACAAACTGTGAGCCAAAATAAAGATTTCCTCCTTTGACATGTGGGGGTTGGGTATATTGTCCCAGTGGAGAGAAAGTGACTAAGATATGGGTAATGAGGAGTCTATGCATGTGTGAAGGCAAAGATTATATAGAAAGTCTCTGTGCTTTCTTCCCAATTTTGTTTTGAACCTCATTTGTTTTGTATATATATTCTGGGAGGCTGGGACAGGAGGATCGAAAGTTCAAGTCCAACCTGGGCAATGTAGCAACTTAGGGAGACCTTGTCTCAAAATAAAAATTAAAATTAAAAAGGGCTACCAAGACCTGTCAAGTAAAGATACAAGATCCCAATAATGAATGTAACTGTACTGTATACCTAAAATGTACCAATAAACTCAATGTAAAAAAAATTAAGAGGGCTGGGATATAGCACAGTGTGGAAATTCAATTCCCATTATCACAAAAATGGGGGCTGGGACGTGTAGCTCAGTGGTAGAACGCACACATGGAATGCACCAGGATCTGGGTTCCATCCTCCGTACACATGCGTGCACACACACACACAAGCACAAAGAAGAAGATACAATATGTGCGTGTTTACAAACAAGAAACAACAAAAATACTTATCTCTAGTCCCTCTATTCACCGGTCAGCCTCTCCTTCCCTCCCATCCATGCTGTCTGGCTGCCCCTTCTCCTGCCCACGGTGAAGCTGCATCCATACAGAGGCGTCTTGGCTCCCCTCCTTGCACATCTCCTTCCACACCCAGCACAGGTAGAAGGAGAGCTGCAGTGTGAGTCTTTGAGTAGGAGTCAGGCTGGGAGCTTGAACTCCAGTCTCAGGGATGGGATGCAACCTTGGTTTGAAGGGGATGAAAGGAATTGTCCTCAATTTTTCACACAGCCAGACTCAGGAAGGTGGAGAAAGATGGAGAAGTAGTTAACTCCAGAGCAGGGGAGAAGAGCAGCCTGATCTCCCCAGAGTGGCTTCCTCCCAGGGCAGAAGCTTGGCATTTAGCTGGTGGATGCAGTCATGTGTCACTCTCTCTACTACTGCTGACCATGCCAGTCTTGCACATTTGGACCTGCAGAAATACCTGCGGTGTTGATTTCTCACGCTCACACTAACATTTTTAGATTGGAGTGTCCCCAACAAAATCATGTGCCACCTGCATTATTTCATTGTCTGAGTGAAAAGAAAGTGAAGATATACACAGACATAACCCTCGAGACCTGTATCAGCTAAGCTGCTCTCACTTTGAACAGTTAACTTGATGGTTAGTGTATTCATGGTGTGCCCAAGTCTATCATGAGGACAGCCCAGGAGTGTTAAATCACATTATTTACTTACTTTGGCATCATTCCAAGCAACAAACTTCTCAAAATCACAGGTTTGATGGATTATATTTTTGTAATACACATCAAAACTGCAAAGATAGCCATCATAATGAAAAGTTGTCAGCCACTGGTATAGTACCGTCACTACCTAACCACTGGTGGTAATTGTAAGTTTTGGAGAAACAGTGCTTTCACCAAATAGCTTTTGTAGCAAGGTCTGGTGGTGTACATCTGTAACCCTCATTAATCAGGAGGCTGAGGCAGGAGGATCACAAGTTCAAGGCCAGCCTGGGCAACTTAGCCAGATATCGTGTCAAAATAAAATATAAAGGGGCCGGGGATTTAGTTCAGTAGTTCAGTGACCTGCCTTGCAAGCACAAGGACCTGAGTTCAAACCCCAGTACAAAAAAAAAAAAAATTTATGAAGCTGAAAGATAAATTTGAGGAAATCTTAGCAAAACTAGAACAAGGCTGGAAGTGGTGGCCCACACTTGTAATCCCAGCACTCAGGAGGCCGAGACAGGAACATTGCCACAAGTTTGAGGCCAGCTTGGACTATATAGTGAGACCCTGTCCCAAACACACACACCCCAAACAAACACACACACACACACACACACACACTAGTAGTTGTGCATATTTCTCCCACTGAATTGTAAGATTTTTAAAGGGTCATGTTTTATTTCACTGCTTAGTACTGTGTTGAAACTCAGTAATGATTTGTTTTTTCCTTGGTTTGGTGGTTTATTTTGGGGATGGGGTAGTGATTAGTAGGAGTTACTTATATGCTTAACAGAAATGATACCTCCAGGATCGGTACCATAAAGGGAAAGCAATATTTATATGGTAAAGAAGGTTGCCTTGGTCTCCATTTCATGCCCTCATTATTTGGACTTGAGCTCCCAAGTGTTTTTCCTTAACAGGATGAAAGAGAGTAAATCACTCATATACTTTATCTTTGTCCTTCCTGGGATGAACAATACATGTGTAAGTTAAGACACATAACAAAAATACACACCTAGTATTCAAGGAATGAAATGTATGGTCACTGGTCAGGAAATACTAGTTGCATGGCTGGCTAAAACAGCTTAGCTACCAGCGATTTACCACCTGCAAAACCATCAAAGAGAAATGGAGGAAGAGCCAATATTTATTCACCCTAGGGCAGCAGTGCCAAACCTATGACACGTGTGCCACAGCGGGCTGTCTGTATCACTGATGGCTCTGACAGGTTCACCATCACTGTCCTATGGCATTTATGTCTTTCCCCAGGATTCATTTGTCAGCTGCCACATGAGAGAGTAAAACCGTGTCTCCAGGAGGCAGACACCACTGTTTTTAACCAAAGTTTGCCTTTCTCTTGGAAGACTGAAGTTAGTTTGCAAAGAGGATTTAAGTCCCAGTTTTATCCAGAAAGCTGGACTGGAATTGTAGTAAATAATGGATAACCTTCTGACCAACCAAATTAATGAATAACCAAAGGAAAGTGTGAGTAAGATACCAGAATAAACTAATATATTAAGGGAGAGAGAATATCTCTAATATAGAAAAGAAAGCTATACTATCTTTGTTGTTGTTGTCCTGAGACAGAGGGTTACTATGTAGACCAAACTTTGATCCTCCTGCCTCAGCCTCCTGAATGGTAGAATTATAGGTGTGCATCGCCATGCCAGCTTACACTAACTGCTGCTAGACATACAGACATCTATCAAGCCTGGCCAGTTATTTCTTTCTTCTTCATCTCACCCACCTCTTTCCTTTACAAGTTCTTAGTATGACTCGACTCAGGACTGTTTAACCCATTAGCACATATATTTTTTTTCTTTTTCTTTTTTGTTTGATTTTTGAGACAGAGACTCACTATATAGTTTGGGCTGGCCTTAAACTCACTGTGTAGCTCAGGCTAGCCCTGAACTTGTGAAAATCCTGTCTCAGTACTGGGATTACAGGCATGTGTCACCACATCTGGCCAGAAACATGTTCTTTTGACACTGAGCATGAGAAATATTGCTTCCTCAGCTACTAAGGATCAAATGGAGGCAAGAACTTGGTGAAGTAAAAAGAACATGAACCTTAGAAGACCTGGACTAGGCCTTGGTCGAGTGACCTATGCCTGTTACTTGTCCCCTCTAACTCATGTTCCCTTAACTTATTTCTGTAACAAATATTCTCCAGGCACTTACTAAGTACCAAAGTGTTGCTCAGTGCACAGAGGACCTAGCAATGAATAATACAGACATGGTCTCCTCCAGCGGAGTACATGTTCCAGGGAGAGCAGCCTGTGAGAAATAACCTCAGGCAGCGAGCAGTTCTAGGGAAGAGTCGAGGTTTGGGACAAAGACAAGTGTGTGTAGGGGGAGCTTCTGAGACAAAGGCTGGTCAGGGAAGGTCTTGCAAGGCAATCACAGCTGAGCGGTGACCGGGAAGTCCCAGCAAGGGACAAGCCGGGAAAAGAGTGTTCCAGGAAGAGGAGCCAGAGAGGCTTGAGGTGGGACAATGATAAGCCAGAAAATGAGATGGTACGTAGTTGTGCGAGGTTGATGATTCTGATGTAACCAAAGCAATCCTGCAAGTTCCTAGTGGGGTCTCCAGTGGGAACAAGGGCAGAGGCTCTGCCAGGCTCCTACCACTCTACCCAATTCTCTCTCCCTCCCTTCCTCCCTCCCTCTCTCTCTCTCTCTCTCTCTGTCTCTCACACACACACACACACACACACACGCACAGCTCTTCTGTAATCTGAAGTATATATTGGGCTGCTGTTTAATCTTTAGTTTAAAGACCAGATTCCAGGATCAAAAGAATACTTAATCTTAAGTCTTTTCTTCTCTTTAGTTGTCTGACTCCATAATAAAGTCATCATATAATCTCAGTCATGGCTCTAGAGACTGATTCTACTCTATTTGGTTGACAGAGGGTCAAGGACTCCTGACTGCAGTGACCTGACTGCTGCCACCAGAACCTTCCATGCCCCCAAATCCATAAGGGACAGGGAGGGACACAAGACTCTGCCTCTCCCTAGCAGGCTATGCTAATGTTCTGTGCTTGCTCTCAAATGAGAGGCTTTCTGTCCTGCACAGCAAAGCTTTGTGGAGATACCTAAGGAAAGGTTCCAGTTTTTCCCAACCTGTAAAATGCCACGTAGGTCGGCAGCCCCCTTTCCAAGCCCGCTAAACTTCTATCTTTCCTTGTCTCCCGAGAACTGCCTGGCAGCTCCCACGTGGTCTCCATTGTCCTGGGGCTTGAGGAAAAGCACTGCGCAGAATGTGAAATCATTTCTGTAACACGGATCTAATCAGCCCTTTGACTGTCAAGGGGAGGCAGAGGCCAAGAGGGATTTTAAACAATCTGCTTCTCACACCATTCAAGGAAAGCAAAGAACCAGATAGGGAAAGGGAGAAAAGGGGACTAAAGAGGAGGAGTGGAGCGAATTTTGGAGACAGAGAAAGAGGAGGAAGGAAAATGGGGAGGGGAGAACATTAAGAGACTGAAATGTGAATCCTTTGTTCTTCCACGTCACCTCTGCTCTGGATTTCCCCCTCCTCTCTCCCAGGCAGAACTTACTTGACTGCTGCCGATTTCTCTTTCTGACTCCATCTTGCTGCCCTCCAGTCCCCTCTCACAGCGGTGCCAGACAGACTGCGTGGGCTTCTCGGCTCGGCTGCCTGTGGCTCTGTGCTCTCCTGGGGTGGGAGAGAGCGCACAGCTGCAGGACAGATCTGCTATTCATCCAGCCCATGTGGGATGCCCGCCTCGCCTGCTGTCCCCGGGGGCAGTGTGCACATGACACGTGTGTCAGCATGTGTGTCCACATGTGTCTGCACATGTGTGTTGCAGGACAAGGCATGTGACACACCAATAGTTTGGTTTTTGAAAGAGCGACAGCACTTTTTATGAGTGACTCCAGTGCCACTCCAGTCATCTGAGGTCACCCCGCCTGCTTTGAATGAGTAGCTTTACCACTGGGAAAGAAATCTTGCACATGGATCAAGAAAACTAGAAAACAGTTGAGGACGGCTTTCTGATTTCACATTGGTGGAGCTGAGGAGGGTCCCCAAGCATAGTCTCAAGACAGGCTGGGGATTTCTGCTATTCTTTCCTTGGTTCCTTCAATCCTTAAAAGAAAGAAAGAAAGAAAGACAGAAAGGTCATTTACCTAATAGGCTGCAAAGCACAAGCTTTATTCTACAAGTAAGTAAGCAATGTGTTTATTTTACAAATTGTTTGAAATCCTCAACTTCTCCCTTGATGGGGAGAGGAGTTTAAATTCTTCAGATCCTTTTCATCCAACTAGTTGAATTTTCTCTGCTTTTTTCTACCATATATGAGTCCCTTTTTTTTTTCCTTTTGGGAAGCATTTCTTTCTCTCGTTTATCTTAGAACCAAAAACTCTTCTGCCTTCTTCTGGAAGCTGATTTTAGACACTTGGGGGTGCAAGTGTGGGTGTGGGTGTGTTTTCCTGGGCCTGGCAGAGTGTGATCAGGGTGAAATCCCTTTCAGAGGTTAAAGAGGTGGTGGGGTGGGAACAGAGTCAAATGTACAAGAAACTTTAAAATAGTTCATTTCTTTATTGCTATTAAATATCTTTTTTTTTTTTTTTTTTTTTTTTTTCGTGGG